TGCACAGCACAGAAGCAGGTGCTGCAGCTGTCTCTTCCTCAAGGACAGCAGGGCTACAGACGTCATGATTGGACTAGGAACTCGGCAAACGACTTTCTGTAGGATCATTAGAGAGAGCATAAAGCACTGCATGCCTCTGTTTTCTTTCTCCACATGGTAAAGGCAGGACCACAGGGCAAATGAAAGGAAAACGGTAGGAGTTCTCAGAGAATCTGCCAACTGTAAACTCCTATAATAGTTCTTCTTTCCTTTTCTCGCTCATCTCTAGCACTGTTCTCTAGTGTGATTTAAAAGACATTAGCAGAGGAAATTAAGGAAAGCAAGGGCGTGTTGACTGTTCAACAAGTTTGGAATTTAAAAAAAAAAAAGAAAAAAAAACCACCTAACATTTCTGACTTTCCTGTATCAACAAATGCAGTTTCTAAAGAAGGTATCATCATGTGTAGACTAACTATAGGAAAGTTTGCAGGAAACATGGGCTAGCTAACTCGCCACCATATTTTCTTTCAAAGCACACTTATGCAAAAGAAGTACCAAACGTAAGTTTATTTGTTTTCTGAAATCCACCAGTTGGCTTCTTCACAAAGAGGCGTGTTTCCCATAAGCCACATAATAAAATAGGACAAGGGAGACATTAAAACGATGGAAGTAGCTTGAATGTTATGGACAACAAGCTGTTTAAAAACTGTTTCATTTTAAGAGGGACAGATGTCAGGATGCTAGTGAAAACATCTTCCTCTGCTTGCTCCAAAGCTTCAACCTGTCCTCCTCAGCTTCACCCTGACTGAGATCATTCTTTCAAGTCCTGTTCTTCCATCTTGATCCTTGGTAGGACAGAAATCTCTCTGGGATGGGCCCTTTCACATGCTGCTCACATTTAACTTAGTCTGTATACATTAAAAGGATCTAGAATGTGCAGAATTTACAGAAAGAAGAAAGAGAAGAAGTGAGAGGTTCTGGGTAACCAAAATGAAACCCAAAAGTTTACCTGCTTCAAAAACATTGCTATTTTGTCTAGATTTAGAATTAATTACAAAAATTTGCCCTCATAGAGTGGCTTTACCTTCCATCCTCTAAACACTGACTTCATAATGATGTTTGCCCAGTTGTCAAGAGAAATGACCATTTTTTTTACCATTGCGCAGGGGCCTGGGGGTTGAGACAGAGACAAAACAGATGTTCTAGGAATGCCAAAGTCTGTCTCTTTCACTCAATACATGATTGCTAACACACACACTGTCTACAAGATTAAAATAAGAAAGAGCCCATCTGTGAGACCTGCCCTGGCTGCTGTTTGCAATTTAGTTAAGTTCACTGACTCAGCTGATGTAGGGGTGAGGGTCAGATTACTCAGTGGGAAGAGTTGAAGTATTCCTTTTAAGAATACTGATCAGTGTCCTTGCTGAGTAAATTCATATAAGCTGGGGTGGCCTTAGGGCATTCTTTTTATCTGAAGACATGCCTGGGTTTCTGGGGAGAACATGCATGCTGGCTAACAACTTCTATGCATCCAATCAGAAGAAATCATTTTTTAAATCCCAAATTCAATGTAAAACATCCTCTTTTTTAAAAACCAATAAAATGAATACTACCAGGAGGAGAATTGTTAGCACAATAAGGCTTATTCGATACATACTAATGCTAATAAAACAAGACATTAGGTTAACAGTCAAGCTATACTACCTGAGAACAAAAGCTCCTGGAAAGAAACATACTTTACACAGAACTATCTGTGAGCCTGATCAGCAGATTTGACCTTCAGTGACTGGAGAGTCTGAAATGCCATGGCTCCAGAGCCAGATTACTTTCAGCTACACTGTACCCTCTCACCCTAATAAGCATTTACTGCCCTTTTCTATAGGTGGCCTAAAAATTTTGTGATTGTTAGGTAAACTTTTTGGAATGTAGAAGCAGAACCCATGTCTCCATCAACCGAAAGGCTAAGAATGCTGCTATATACCATCTAGGCCAACAGCTGAGGCCACCTCACTTTGCTTTACCCCACCTATCTGATGGACCTAACCGTATCTTTCAAAAGTGTCTTGATTCATGACTTCCTTCATTCTGTTACCATGCAAATTATTATCAAATGGAATTAAGGCTAACCTGAATCTGTTCCTGGGCTGGGGTCTCTCATATCTGGCTACAGAATAAACTGTGTCATCGGTTTGAGATTTTTTATGTCAACACGGCAGCGCACACACGAGGCAGTACAGTACCCAAATGAGTACGGGAACTCTCTTATTTTGATTTCTATTTCTGTGAAAAAGACAATGGCCAAAAGCAGTGTGGGAAGGAAAGGGTTTAATTTCATTTTGTGGCTTCTGGTCCATCATCCAGAGAAGTCACGGGGAGCTCCCTGCAGGACGCTGGAGGCAGAAACAGAAGCAGAGGCAGAGGCCAGGAAGAAATACTGCCTGCTGGCTTGCTCCCTGTGGCTTTCTCGGTCTTCTTTCTCATAGCACTGTGGACCACAGGTGGCAGTTCTCTCCGTGAGCCTGCCCCTCTCATACAAGCCATTTATCAAGAATATACCCCACAGACTTGCCTACAGGCAATCAGATGGAGGCATTTTCTCATTTGTGGTTCTTCTACGATAACCGTAGCTCGTGTCAAGTTGACAAAGAACTAAGCAGGATGGAGACAAAAAGCTTTAGCTGGAGATGTCTGCTCTGTGGTTCAGCTAGGAGCCCTCAACAAAAGCAGGGCCATTTTCTTGTCCCCCGTGTCAATCTCTTTGAATGTCTTCAACCTTACACATCTCTCTGCTTCCATGGCCAACTCTATATTACTGCTGAAAAGCAAAGAGGTGGGCAAACTTTTGAGTGCGTCTTAGACCGGAGCTCCACTGCTTTCTAACTGGAAAGACAAAACATAAATTCATTGCCCAGGGTTTGAAAACTCATCTGTTTGCTCCAAAGAAAACTCAGATTTCACCATCAGTCTCCAAGCATCCTTCTCTACCCAATAGTCTCAGGAAAGGTCTACAAGTACAGAAAATGAAGACACCCTCAGAATTCTTTGAAATCTGCTCATAACTTACATGCTAAACTGATGTTTTTAATAGTTTGAATTAACACTGGGTATAAAGATGGAAAAGCATGAAGAATGAGATGAAAGAGATGTTAATAATGAAATAATTACATGTTATTAGGAGTTCAAGAGAAACCAAGAGCCAGAAGACAAATTCACAACTGATTTTTCAAAATGAATGCTGAGAAATTTTCAGTAATTTAACATGGATCGTATATTGGTTTTCCATTAAAATTTCTTCAACATACTACTAACAGCTTGGAAAGTATCTCTACTTGTGAGGCTTTTGGGGGGACATTGTGGTTGTTTTATCCAAAAGCATCTCTGTGGTTTTAAATGCTTGTATGCAAACTCAGACTTGAAGGGTGGTGAATTAATCATTGATGGATCCAGAAATTGTACAGCTTTCCAGGTGATAGAAGCTCAATGTATGCTTTACTAACCTTTTAATAAAGACACTGACATGAATAATAAATCTAACTTCCCTTAATATGCACACACAATTTTCAGAATAGTTTCAAGGACGAAGATTTGCATTTTTATACAAAATATTGCAGCTTGAAACTTAAAGCATAGGAAAGAGCTACCACTAACTTTTGGAGTTAAACAAGTTGAACATAGAAAAAACAGCAGAGTTGTAGGTAGCAAGAGCTGAGTTGTGGGGAAAAGACCTTCAAGTAAAAATGGGTAAATTAAACATTTGACATCTGAAAAAAATTAGCTCTTCTTTGGAAAGGTGGCTCAGTGATTAAGAGCACTTGCTGGTCTTACAGAGGAGCAGGGTCCAATCCCAAACACTCACATAGTGGCTCACAACCACCCATAACTACAGTTCCAGGGAGTCAAATTTCAATCTCATCCTCTGCAAGTACCAGGCACGCATGTGGTACATGCACATACGTGCTTACATTCATCCGTACAGGCAAAGTGCCCACATACTTAAAATAAATAAAGTAAAGTAGATCTTAAAGATTCTCAACAGAAACAACAAAATAGTACCTTGGTGAGATAATCGGGACATTAGTTAAATTGACTGTGGTGATCATTTCATAGTACTGAAGCGGATTACATATTTTAAATACACACCATTTTTCAGTTCTCTCTCAACAAGGTCAAAAATAACATTACACAGAAACATACACATGGGCTAGCACAAGTTGTATTCTAGATAGAGTTGGCAAAAATACAAATGCAGCTTATTCTACCAGCAAGAATTGATTTCTAATCCTACGGTCAGAGTGGAAGAAAACAAAGCCGAGAGGGGACAAAATCCCACGGAATAAGTGTTCATGATTCCTATTTTCCAAAGTACTATCACAGTATCTTCCAAATTTAAGTCTTCCATAAAGCTGTAGTTTTCTACCAAAGCAAGGTGAGGAGGGGCTGGAGAGATGGCCCAGTGGTTAAAAGCACTTGAAAGCTCTTGCAGAGTACCTGGACTCAGTACCCAGGGTCGGCAGCTCATACTAAACTGCCTGTAATGCCACCTCTGGGGGATTTGATGATCTCTTCTGGCCTCCACAAGTACTGCACTGGTGAGCATACACACACATACTTCAAACCCAAAATTAAACAAAAACACTATTTAAAAAAAATCATAATAAAAACTGAGATAAGTATACTTGAAACATTCTATTGCTTTAAATTTATAGACGAGTAATGGTGATAATTGGACACTGTTATTCAAAAAGAACATTTTGTTTTCCAGAAAGGAAGTGTGCAAGGGGGTGATTGAAAGGACACATACAGGTCTTACAACTAACAGAACAAAACCTCCCCACTCTTTTGAGACATTCCATTCTTCTCCCTAAACTGATCCCAAAGAGTGCAGGCCAAATGTACAGATACAGTCACGTGTGCCAGTTCAGAGCTCAAATGGCATGCCTGGGGAGCCAGAGATGCTTCAGTTTCCGTTATCCATCGATCACCTTGCAATGCTCATTTCATCCTGAGAACGTGGTACTTACTCTTGTACTGCTCTGGCTATGGAAAGGGCCGTGGATCCAGTTTCATTAACGCTATCTAAGGTCACATTTGGCAGGTCATCATCATCACTGTCACTTTTACTTTGTCTGGGAGATAGGCCTCGGGGGTCCATTTGTGCTGGGAAGAAAAGGCATATATAATGAATTAAAATTAGTGTGCAGAACTGAACTTCGAGCTGGACGGACATCGAGCACAGAATCACTCTCCTGTGCATTTCCCGCAAACAGATTCCCAGACACTAAAGGGACCAGCATCTTATGGACTGTTCCTGTGATGAACACAATATCTACATCAGATCCCAAGAGTTCCAGGCATGTGCCTAGAACAGAAGCCACAAGGTCAGTAAATGGTGATATTGCCCAAACAGCGAGGTCAAAGCTAATTGTGTAGTTCCTGAGTAACGTTTCACCCCCTGGCTTCTCTCCCTGCTTTCTTCTGCTGCCAGACCTCCAGCCATGCCACTTTCCACTAGCACTTTCTCTGGAAGAAAGACAGCATGAGGTAGAAGAGGTATTATTTGCTTCATGCTCTCATAAGAGGTTAAAAGAAGAACAACGTTGACATGACTAAAATAACATTTCAGGCTTTTCTCCTTTTGTGTGTGTGTGAATTGTTGTCTCACAGATTATTACTGTTTCAGGGAGAGCGGAAACTTGACTACAGAAAAATGGCAGAGGTAGAAGCATCAAACATTTCTGATATCTGTTTACTTGTGCTGAAAAGTGTGCATTCATCTCTATCATGACTACAGCTTTCAAATAGACATTTCCAAATCTGATTCTCTTCCTACCATGAACTTGTCCAAGTAAGAAGCTGCTGTTCTGACCCTGTTGACTAGTTCAATGAGGAATTTAATGTAATATCACACAGACTTTTTTCTGCCTTTCCCCCCCTCTATGAGTAGCTTTAGCTACTGCTTAAGACTGCCTTCTGTGCTTTCCTGTCTCAGAAAACACGCATACCTCCCCAATTAAAAAAAAAAAAATGTCTGTACACAATTGTTAACCTAACCCACTCAGCTCCAATTCAGATCATCATTCATCAAAAGTGCCCAAGAAAGGCTTCCCAAACCACCATTGTTTGCAAAGGAAAGCAAAATGTACTTCATATCGAGGTTACAATGACATTTGGGTACAACTACATTTCAAATCATGATTACAATGGCAGTTGGATAGAAGCGTATTGAAAATTACGGTTAGAATGACATTTGGCTAAAATTGAGCAGAAAGATACTTTTTTATTTTTCAACTAATTTTTTTTATAGCTGTACATCATGAACTCCCAAGGAAATGCTGATATTTTGCCAGGTTTTACCAGGATTAGGCAATTTGTGGTTGTACACAATATTTACAACATGGCTAAAAAAACTAACCCTAGAGGGTCTGCACAGATATCTAACTGAAGGAGTTGGCATTCATTGCATCTGGAGAATGCTAATGTGGCTGACACATTTTCTGTCTCTCGTCCCTGCACATGAAAATGCACCTTGTGAAAGGGGATTGCTTGGTAAACATCATCTAAATTGATTCAAAACCCCTGCAATAGCAGTCTTTTAATGTGGACAAATTCCTCATTGCTCTCCACCCAATGATTCTGGAAGTATCTGGAAATACTTTACCTGTCAAGACCAGTGAGGTGGGGTGCTGTTTGGGTTACCTGGATGTTACTGCTATATTGAAGATGAGAAGTCAGGGACCCTGCTAAATATTCTACAACACTCTGGTCAGTCAGTCATCCACAATGAAGAATTTATCACTCTAATTTTCAACTGTGCAAAGATTGATCATTTTCCCTAGAGAGTTAAGATTTTAGGCAAATGGACGTGTTCCGGGTACGGTGTTCAGTTGAATAAATATGTCCTCGTTTCAAAGTCACTGACAGGGAAACACAGATACACATTAGGTCACCTATACTCTCTAACACTGTCCTCAAATAAAGCAATTCACTGTCTTGCGACACTGCGCTGAGGATGGTCTCAGATACAGACTTCACTTGCTCACATGCCAGGGGTTATGCCAATAACCAAGCAGAACATAGTACAGGACCAACAAAACAATCAAACAAACAAAAATACCAAACAAACAAACAAACAAACAAACAAACCAATTAAACCACTATGACCAAGCAGAACATATCACAGGACCAATAAATAAACAAACAATGACAACAACAACAACAGCAAAGAGCTTTTCCACCTTATCAGTAAAAAAGACACCTCAGGAGTGGGATGATGCAGATTTTCTCAGTGTGAAGCTTGGGGGTCTATCTTGAGCTGGTAAGACACAGCATTATTGTCTAATTACTCTAAAAATGTATTATCGTATATTATTAAGATTCATATGGCTCTACTCAACAAGCTGGTTCAATCAAACTAACAAACAACATCATTTCATGTTACTTAGTGGCACAGATTCTGGCTAATGTGCCCTTAAGTGAATCCATTCTCCTGCAAACATTATAGACCGTGCTACACAAACTAAGATGGCTATGGCTACAGAGGCACAAAGTGATCCAGTCTTGTGTGCCGGGACTTTTGTTGTACACACTGTTGAGTTATTGACTGAAACATTGTTTAGCAGCCCATGGCTATACTGGAAAGATATTGACCAGCTCACAGGCTGGAAGGCATAAGGACTCAAGAAAGACATAAGCATTTTAGCTAGGAATTCACCGATGTTTTTCTCTAGTTTTGTTTGGTTTGTTCCAGTGTGACTCATCTAATGACTGCTTATAACTATGAAAAAAATCCCAGCCAAGAAAATTAATGACAGATCCATCTAGGCCTCCACCTCCTCACTGCGTGCTTCTATATGGGCCTGTAATGTCAATAGTTGACCACTGAAAGTTGCCGAAACATTATATCCAATGACACCTTTGCTAAGGTATAAAACGATCAGCTAAAGAATAGAGAGTATTCTCATGGTGCCATTTTGTCCAGAACAGCCAGAGTTCTCAAACACCTACAACTAGAGGAGGGATGAGGTGGCTATGCAAGAGGCTGAAGGTCAAGCAAGCCTAGCTGTACAAAACATCCCCAAAATGTGGGGAGCTGTAACATGAGTCATCTAGATTGCGTGCTGTTTATAGCTAAACTTCAGTATAAAATATGCTAAAGAAGTCATCTGTTTGGATGTACTTTTTGGGAGGATCGTGCTTGAGGACTTCTTTCCAATATTTTCAATAAATACTATGAAATACATCTGCTGCCACCATGCTGAGAAATTCTTCATACTCATATCCTCAGCCAAGCTGAGAAAATAATCAGAAAGGCTTTTTCAAAATCTGCATTGCTGATGAGGTCAGATGATTAGCTTATCTACATACTTGCATAATTCTACACTATTTTTATTAAACATGGAATAGGGACATCTCATCTGGTTAACCTCCATTAGTCTTTGCACATCTGAGCCCATGTTAGGACCCCCTAAGTCTCTCAGCACTCATGTAGGACAATGCAAACATTTCCTGGGCAACTAGAACACACATATCCTCTCCCATTCAAACACTTTCCCCCGCCCTCCCTGTCTTCCTGACTCTTTCTCACACACTTACTCTAACACACAAACTCACATGTATACATATATTCAGAGTTCTCTAAGTTTAGAGAACAAAGAATTTATCTTTGAGCTTGATATAGCGGTATATACCTTTTCTCATACTCAACAGGCGGAAACACAAGGAGATTTCTGAGTTCAAGGCCAACCTGGTCTCCAAAGTGACTTGCAAGCCATCAAGAGTTAATGGTAAGATGCAGTATCTTATTAAACACGCAAGCACACACACAAACACACACACATGCCCTCATATTAAAGATTTCACATATTTGAAACTGGAAAAATGGACTGGGATGTTTGGAGAAACTTGGTCTCTTGCAGTTGGACTTGTTCTGGACAAAGCCTGGGAAGACAAACCCGACACCTGAAGTTGAGCAGACTGATTTTCAATTACCATCTGTGGGAGATCAGGACTGTGCAGACTGTTCTGTGCCGCACCCTTAGGTGGCTGCTTTTGACAGTGGCTCTGCTGGACTCTGTGGTCTATTGTGGCTAAAGCACATCAGTTAATGCAACACAAAGGGGGGGGGGCGTGAAAAGAATGTGTTTGTTGGACATCGTGTTCTAAGGGGTGAGTAGCTGTGGGATGGAGCTTGAAGAGGCTTAGAAGAGAGGCACTGTTTAGGTGGTAAGTTATCTGAGTTTCATTAGCTATTCACATTCCAGCCACCAGAAGACCACATCTGGACCAGGCATGCCCAGATGAGGCCAGTGTGAAAACTGCCTATCTTAACCCATTCCAACTTCTGACCCATGGAACTGTGACCACATAAAACAGTTGCTATTTTAATCTATCTCATTTAGGGCAGATAATGCCTTTTTAGCAGTGTAGATAAACAACAGCAAGCCAGCCTACTCCTGCATGTTCTTTTTGCCAATGACCATTCTGTGTTTAGTGACAAACACCAAAGCGGGACTTGAAACTACCTGAAATCCTCTGTACTTTCTGCTCTGTGGTTAAAGCACTTCCTGTGTATTTCCATGTGTTTCCTTGTGGGAAGCATCATCTTGGAGCCTCAGCATTGCTCAGGTATGGGGCAGAGTGGGGCCCTTTGTGGCCTCTTCTCTAAGCTGTATACTTGACAGGAAGACCATTGGGTACCTCTTGTGAGGCCTACAGGCAAAGCTCTATGCCCTTTTCAAAATGCTAAAACTTCTTTTTTTCCTGTGTAACAGTGGGCTGACACAGACACACTTCACCAGAGTACATGGCCTCACAATATCTTCTCTCCCTAGCCTGGGTACTATAAAAAAATTATGCACTTCCGGCAAAGGTGACCTGGCCTTCATGCCTTTGTTCATGAAGTTTTCCGTGAGTCATCTTATTAAATGTATATAAGAGGAAACCTTCCAAGATGGCGGCGGCTAGTGTGCAGCTTAGCTGAAGGGGAGAGGACCCGCAACATGGAAATTGGTGAGTGAAGGGGTTGATCAACCCAGAACACAGTTATCTAGACTTCCAAGAAGAAAGAGACTAACCATGATCTGAGTCCTTTTAGAATCAAGTCACAGCAGACTCCTCCGGGAGGAGACACCCCGAGAGGTGATCCCCAGGCACTTCCT